TGTTCAAACACAAGGATATACACAAGACGACATGGATTTCACCAGATGGAAACACCAAGAATCAAATAGACTTCATCTCAATTTCAAGAAAGTGGAGACGGAGCCTACTGGACACAAGGTCAAGGAGAGGAGCAGATGTGGGTTCAGACCACTATCTAGTAGAAGGGACTTTCAAGGTGAAACTAAAAGCCTCGAGGATAGCTGGGGATAGGCCACAATGCAAGTTCAACACTCAAACTGAAGGACACAACCACAAAAGACACCTTCACTGCAACTGTCAGAGCAAAGCAGGAAACACTACGCGACATCACTGAAGAATCATGCGTGGAAGAACATTGGAAGTCTCTGAAGGCGATTCTCAACGAAACGTGTTCAACGGTTCTAGGAAGAAAGAAGAGACAAGACAAGGAATGGCTCTCAACGGACACTTGGAAATTAATAGAAGAGAGGAGAATGGTGAAAGAGAAAATGATTCAATGCAAGGACGGACAGGAGAAGGAGACGATGAGCTCAACTTACAAAGCATTGGACAAAGAAGTGAAGAAAAGTGCTAGGAAGGACAAAAGACGATTCTACGACAACCTGGCCACTGAAGCTGAGAAGGCAGCAGGCAAAAGGGACCTGAGGACACTATATCAGATAACCAAATCTCTATCCGGGAAGAGATCAACACAAGCGAAACCTATAAAAGACAGCCAAGGGAACCCAATTACCAAGGAAGAAAAACAGATTAAACAATGGGCGGATCACTTCAAAGGACTCTTGAACCGACCATCACCTGCAACCCGTCCAGAAATACCAACAACAGCGCGCACACAACTGCAAGTTGACACCAATCCTCCAACGAGAGCTGAAGTCTTGAACGCAATCAACCTTCTGAAAGCTGGAAAAACAGCCGGACCAGATGGAATACCCCCTGAAGCACTGAAAGCGAACCCAGAGACGACAGCAGACATGCTGACTCCATTATTGCAAAAGGTCTGGAAGGAGGGAAAGGTGCCTACTGACTGGAGGAAAGGTTACCTCGTGAAACTACCAAAGAAGGGCGACTTAGGACTCTGCAAGAACTGGCGAGGAATCATGCTCCTATCGACGCCAAGTAAAATCCTGAGTCGCATCATCCTGGAGAGATTAAAGGACGCACTGGAGACAGAACTCCGACCAGAACAAGCTGGATTCAGGAAAGGCAAATCATGTACTGACCAAATTGCAACTCTACGCATCATCACAGAACAAAGCATGGAATGGCAATCAAACCTCTACCTCAACTTTATAGACTTTGAGAAGGCCTTCGACAGCGTTGACCGTGAAGTAATTTGGAAATTACTCGAGTACTATGGCGTACCCCAAATATTCATCAACCTTATTCAACAGCTGTACGACAACGGCACATGTCAAGTGATCCACAACGGAAAACTCAGCGAGGCGTTTGGAGTAAACACAGGAGTCAGACAAGGGTGCTTATTATCACCAATGATATTCCTAATTGTGGTGGACTGATGGATTATGCGTCAGACAGTGGGAAACGAGAAGACAGGAATATCCTGGACCGACGTGAAGAACCTAGAAGACCTGGATTTCGCGTGTGGATGATTTATGTTTGATGTCACACACAATCGAAGACTTACAAGCGAAAACCGACAAACTGGTCGAAGAAGCAGCCGGAGAAGACAGGACTCCAGGTGAACATAGACAAGACGGAGGTTATGAAAATAACCAACCAACAACATCCAACGTCAATCACCATCAACGGGAGGGATTTGAAAGAGGTTACTTCATTCACTTATCTAGGGAGCATTGTCTCAACTACAGGAGGAACGGACGAGGATGTCAAATCGAGAACGAATCGGGAAGGCGAGAAACACATTCATCAGCCTGAAATCAATCTGGAAATCTTCGTCACTCAGCATCACCAACAAAATTCGGATTTTCAATACAAACGTAAAGTCAGTTCTTCTATACGGATCAGAAACTTGGCGGGTCACAAAGAATATTTCCAAAAGGCTGCAGACCTTTATTAACAACTGTCTTCGCTCTATACTGAAGATCAGATGGCTGGGCCGGAAAGAATCACCAACAAGGAATTATGGGAACAAACAAAGCAAGAACCAATCGCCCAACAAATATGCAGGAGAAAGTGGAGATGGATCGGACACTCGCTGAGGAGACCGCTGGGTGACATCGCGCGTCAAGCCCTCGAGTGGAACCCGAAAGGGAAGCGGCGTGTGGGACGTCAGTGCAAGGGTGACATGGAGGAGATCGTGTGAAGAGGAGTTGAAAGAATATGGATTAACATGGATGCAGGCGAAAAGTATAGCAGAAGACAGAAGAAAATGGAGACGTGCAGTTGAAGCCCTATGTTCCACTGAGAACCCAAGGGAGCAATAATAATAATACGTGAAACAGAAAGATATTTAGTGTTGCACGACGGCAATGCCCAGGGAACAACTGCTTGGTGCAGGTCACACAGCCTGTATGGACTAGCTTTTTAGGTTTGGTCTCGTATTAGTAATTCACTGCCGGTCACAGGCCACCGTAGGGCAAGTTGGAATGTACAATTAATGGGGTCGACCTTTTCTAACCCCTTCTCTTCAGAGTAAAGAGACAGCATAGTTAGTATGCTGGTCATCTGGGGGGAACACCTAACTGCTGTTACATCCCTGTTGCTCAACAGTTCAACTTTGTCCACAGACCCCTAGTATGGTGTAAAAACATCTTACACTATTTCGGTAACTACTTTTAGTCTAATCTCGCTATCGTAATTATCTTCCTGGCATGTTAGGACTTGCAGAAACAAGTGTAGCTAATATATCAGACCTATGACACGTTGGAAGAGGAGTTGAAAGAGTATGGACTAACATGGATGCAGGTGAAAAGTACAGCAGAAGGAAGACAGAAGCAAGTGGAGACGTGCAGTTGAAGCCCTATGTCCCACTAGGAACCCAAGGCAACAATAATAATAATGACACGTCTCACGAGGCAATACTAGTCAAAACTAAGACAATAAAGGCTATGGATGTACCCTATGAATTCGAGACACAAGATTGAAGGCAAGTGTAGGTGTTTGCTTGAATCACCCTAACTGATACGGCGAATTCGTGAAACTATTCCTGTATATAACACCAAGACCTGAAAGTTGTATAACCACTTGACACCGACGGTATAGACTAACTAAGTTATACCTACCCAACCAGTTATTGAAGTAGACACCTCGAGTAAGTAACCAGTGTATATCTATATAATCCATAACTTTTGAGCAATGCAGATACATACCGTAATAAGATAAAGTTATCATGAACTAAACATATCTTGGAATTTGTTTCACTGAAATAATCCAGCGTCCTGGTGTATGACACGTTTCAGAAAAAAGTATGACAAAATACTAAACTCGAAATTCATAAATAAATGTAGTACTTGTTAGCTTCATTTAAATTTGCTCTGACATACGCCTAAAGGAATGATTGAAGTATATTACTTATAACTCTATAACTACAATATTTTAATACACTGAGAAAATCATTCTGACAGGGAAATGACACGAATGTATGGCATCACATTTATTTAAATCACCTAATATACCCATTGAGTCATGAAGAAAACAAAAGACAGATTCAGCGAAGAAACTTTTCTTTATGGACGAAATCATCTTCAGGGGATGTACAGCCGTATTTATATTTACCGAAAATTTCTAGTAGTCTATTATTGAGTAATAATAAGGAGGGGGGAGGGTGACAATTGATTTCATTACTCAAAAGTGGCTTCAAAAGTAAAAATAAAAGTTGTTAATTACTTAATACTCAGTGGCACAAACGAAGAAAGCATTAGAAATCTGATAAGGTTAAATGTTATTGAATGAGAGCAAAGTTAGTTGATTTTCCATTTAACAAATGTGAAAAGGGTGAGAAAATGTACAAAAGAAACATATGAGAGTGATAATATTGAATTAATTATTAAAAACACACTAAGCATTGCAAATAGAATATATACAGGGAACGACTTATCAGATGAGGTTAGAGTTTCTTCGGAACGTATAGATATTACCTTAGTTATACTATAGACGTTAACAGTCGTTCGAGTTTTAAACAGAGTTAGTGTTTTAACTTCTTACTGACGGTCGGCTGTTCGTCTGTCTTCTCGTAGTCTTTATGCAACATTTCAAGTTATTTAGCCGAAGGAAAACTAAGTTTAAAAGACTTTATTACGTGTTTTCACCACTATATTCCGAGGCGAATCATTTATGGTTTATCTATCTTTTTTTTAAACTTCATAAATGCTTAGCATTCGAATTATTATGAACCAATATTCGATAATTCGCATTTCTCCTTAGTGAAATTAGTTAATATTTTCTTGACCTCGTTCGCCTTTACGGTATTTTTTTTATTTATTGCAATTTGAATCTCTTCTGGTAAATTGCTCAAACTCTTAACCTGCTGTATATACATACATATAGATATATTTTAATTTGTTTGTTTGCGTGATAGGTTTCTCTTCCTTTCATTCTTTCTCTCCCTCATTATCTACTAGCGAATTGTCTTCTCACCTAAATCTATTGATCGTCAGTGACTTTTCCTGGTCTTCCGACCATTTTTCCCTTTTGTACGTATACATACATTGTTGTTTGTTTGTTTGTATTTTTATGTTTTTTTTAAAGTTTACTCATATTTTAGCTGTGCATATTAGTGAGTGTATTCGTACTTCATCTTTATGAATTTCTACGGTTCACACACTATTATGAATTAAATAACAATGTGAAACACTTCTATTCTATAATAGTCTTAAAAACACGTTTGTAATACTTGTAAGCAGTATCTTCGGATTTATTGTGAAAGTGGATTTAAAATACTTTAGAAATAAAGAAATCCACACACTGTAAATTTAAATGGTGGAGGCAATAAACAGCCTATATATATGTATAATGGTAAAGCAGAAGTGTTAAATGCAATCAAGCTACTGAAAGCCGGGAAGGCAGCAAGACCGGATGAAATTCCTCCTAAAGGAACCAAAAGCGGATCTAGACACCACAAAAGATATACTCACGCCACTTTTGCAGAAAGTTTGGAAGAAAGCAAAGCATCGCTGAGAAAAGTTGTGTGGAAGAAGATTGGAACTCTCCGAAGGTGGTGTTCAAGGAAACGCGTACAGCTGTTTTAGGAAGAAAGAGGCAAGACAAAGAATGTTTGTGTATGGACACCTGAAAATTGATAGTAGAGGAAGATGGTGAGACAGAAGGGAAACCAATGCAAAGATGGACAACATAGGGAGAAGTTGAGTTCAGTGTAAATTTCACTGAATAAAGAAGTGAAAAAAATGCCAGAAAAGACCAAAGACAATTCTGCGACATACTGGTAAATAAATCAGAACAGGCGGCACATAAAAGAGACCTCAGAACGTTATGTCAGATAACCAGTTCTCTGTCTGCGAAAAGATCAAAGCAGATGAAACCTATAAAAGATGGTGTCTTACAGGTAAAAACCACAAAACTGGCAAAAGAAGCAGAAGAGACTTAGCGGAGGTGATAAAGATAACCAACTAACAACAACCATCACCAGTCACTATGATCGGGAGAAATTTGAAAGAGATCACTTCCTTTACTTATGTGGCTTAGGCATCGTCTTTTCAACCGTAGGCGGAACGGATGAAGATGTCGAAACCAGTCAGAATCGGGAAGGCAAGGTATACCTTCATCACTTTGCATTCAGTATAAGGCACTCTACTCGTACTCATGCAACCAGATGAGGGCTTACGGCGAGTTGTCATCTGAACTGGTAACGACTAGTGGTGTCCGTCAAGAATGCCCATTATCCTCATTTCTATTCAACTTCATCATAGATGTACTAATGGACTTAACCCTAAGTGACTTCAGCGACTCAGGAATTGACTTGCTACCAGGGAATAATCTTGTTGACTTAGAATATGCAGAAGATATAGTCCTTCTAGGAGAGGACACTGACAAAATGCAGAGTCTTCTAAACACCTTGAGCCGCAATCTACGAATGTTTGGCATGCGATTCGCTCCCGTCAAATGTAAGATGATGTTACAGGACTTAATTACACCGACTCCTAGATTAGAAATAGAGAGTGAAGTGGTAGAACACGTTGACCGCTTCACTTATTTGGGAAGTACTATCAGCCGGTGCCAACGACGAAATCTCCGCACGGATACAGAGGGCTAGTTCCGTATATGCCAGTTTACGCCGTCTCTGGCGTAGACCTGATATCCGGCTATCGACCGAAGGGCATGTGTACTGCTCATCAGTCCGCTCTGTCCTCCTTTATGGCCAGCTGTGACACCTGGCCACTGAGAGTGGAAGACATGAAAAGATTAGCTAGCTGTCTTTGATCTATTTCCCGTGTAAAGTGGCATAATAAGGTGAGCAATATTGAGGTTAGGCGTCGAGTTCTAGGTAAGGAGAGGAAATCAATCGACAAGGTTGTGAAGTTACATCGACTGAGATGGTTAGGACATGTGTTACGTATGCCTAGTCATCGCCTTTGTCAACCGACGAGCAATGTTAGCGGATATAGGGTCAGGCTGGAAAAGAGCTAGTGGAGGTCAAACCAAAACATGGCACCAGTCAATGAAACTTACAACAGTTAGTTTAAGCCACGTAGGAAGGTGTAGACTTCGTGGTTGGGGTCCTCAGGACGGTAAAAACCAATGAAGGTTGGAGATAATTGGTGATATGGCTCGAAATCGCAGATGCATCCACTCCTTGTGACTTATGATTTCCAAGGAAACTGTTTTGTTCTTCGTTACTACTATTCCTTTGTCTCACTCCTCTGTTTACTGTCTCTGTTATGCATTTCTTCTACTTTCTTCTCTTGCTTTGTGTGCTACATGGAGTGTGGCGACTTGAAGTGCCGCACATATGTGCAAAGTTCTGTGTCGAAAACAGACAGACAGACAGCATTTAGTGTAACGAACAAAATTAGGTCTCTTAACATCAGGGTTAAGTTTGTTCTTCTACACGGATCAGAAACTTGGCGCTTCATAGAAAGCATTTCCAACAGACTTCAGACTTATCAGTAACTGCCCAGCTCAACACTGAATATCAGATTGCCAGAAAGAATTAGCAACAAGAAATTCTGGGAACGAAGCTGCCAAGAACCTACTGCTCAACATATATGTAGAAGAAAGAGGAGATGAATGGGACACACGCTGAAGAGACCATTGAGTGACATCGTGTTCCAGGTCATTGCTCAAGTGAAACTTGAATGGGAAACGATGACTGGTGACATGAAGGAGATCGTGTGAGAAGGAGATGAAGAGCAATCATGAGACCAGCTAACTCAGACTTCAGAGAACAGGACAAGACGGAGATATGTTGCTGAAGCCCTATGTCCCACTTGGAGAACACCAGGGAATAACAATATATGATAAATATTTCACTATTTGCATACATGAACACTATAAATAGTTATTTTTACTTCCAAATGTTGCTAAAAGTCTTTGGAGGTTGAGATCCTTTATCTGGCCATTCGTCTTTTTCAAGTATTGGTTTGTAGGGATTTGGTTGATTGGTTACAGGATTTCATCATGAGCTGAGATTAGTTAGAGAACCATTGGAAAACCACCTGGGAGTACGGGACAGCTGTTTCGTCCTAGTTTGTGACTCTTCAGCAGTACGCAACCACCGCCAGGGTTCGAACCCAGGACCTTCTGGTTACAAGCCGAGCTCGTATACCATTATTGCATTTTTCCATTGATCAAAGTAAATTCCCTCATATTTTGCTCGCATTGTTATTTATCATAGTGTGATTATTGTATCGTGAGTTTTAAATTCACCCTGCCCACCTTGATTAGACTTGTTGACTTGATCGCATTTATCATTGAATGTCACTAGATGGTTGTTGAACTGTTTTTGCCTAACAGTGTATCACATTTTTCAAAAAAATATTTCAGGATTAGTTACAATCAGAATATTTAAATCTGTTATGCAAAAATTTATTTGTGAAAGTTTGAAGTTATCGGTTATAGAGAAGAAAAAATAGGACTAAATAAGACTGAATAATAAACCACTTTTCAACTTTACTTGTTATGTTGTATGTTGTAATTCATTTTTACTACGTGTGTGTGTGTCTGTGTACGCGTGTGCGTATGCTTGTATGAATCATTGTATTTGTTGGTGGTCCTAAAAACAGATCATTTCAATTTAGTCTCAAAATAGATTTTTTTTTCATTTGAAAAATGTTCATAAGAATATTGTTTGTTGTTGTTACTTCACTGTCACAAGAGAACATACAAAAAAATAAATAAACAAACAAACAGACATGGGATGTTGGTAGTAATTACTCCTTTTAGTATATATATATATATATATATATATATATATATATATATATATATATATATATATATATATATATATATATTGGTAGACGCAGTTTCAGACAATTTAACCACATATTTTAGAATTTGGAGTAAATTGCAGTGCTTAATTGAATTTTAGATTTTCCCGTCGATTGATTGGACAGAAGTGCTCGGTCTCAGGTTGACCATTCGGCTTCTTGTCTGTCTGTCTGGATTCAACATAGAACTTGGCACCGAAGTGCAGCACTTCGAGTTGCCACATTCCAAATAGCACACAAAGATAGACATCTGCACCATTGACAACAATTTCGAGCCATGTCACCTGTTGTCTTCAGCCATTGATTCTTAGAGTCCCGAGGGCTCCAACCCGGAAGTCTTCATCTCCCTACCTGACTCAGTTTAACTGTCAAGGATTTCATGGTTAGGTATGCGCAGCACGTGACCTAGCCATCTTAGTCTATGTAACTTTATAGCCTCGTCGATTGATTTTCCCTGTTTACCCAACACTCTACGCCTAACGTCAACATTACTTACCTTATTAAACCACCTAACGTGAGACAGAGATCGCAGACATCTATGATCGAAAGCAGTCAACCTTTTCATGTCTTCAACGCGTATTGGCCATGTCTCAGAGCCATAGAGAAGGACGGAGCGAACTGCTGAGCAATACACACGTCCCTTGGTTGATAGCCGAATGTCACGCCTACGCCAGAGATGGTGTAAGTCAGCGAAAGCAGCTCGAGCTTTTTGGATCCTTGCTGAGATTTCGTCGCCAATCAGTCCGTTGGTGCTAATACAACTTCCCAAATAGGTGAAGTGGTCAACATGTTCTATCACTTCACTCCCTATCACTAAGCTGGGAATTGACGTAGTCCAGTCCTGTAGCAGCATCTTACATTTTGCAGGGGCGAAGCGCATGTCAAACATATGAAGATTGCAGCTCAAGGTGTTCAGAAGACTCTGTATTTTGTCAGCATCCTCCCCCAACAGGACTATGTCATCTGCATATTCTAAGTCCATAAGACTACCCTGGTAACAAGTCGATTCCTAAGTCGTTACGTTCACTTAAGGATACTTCCATTAGCATATCTATGATGATGATGTGCAGATGCTTCGACGATGTCTGGGCATTTAATTAGGATTTAATTGGTGGATAGTGACCAACAGTGGAATCCAGGGTGCGCATTTCGTCCTATTTGTGGCTCGTCATCTGGATGTGCCTGCACTCCGCGGTTAGTGATGATGTTCCCACCGAGGCCCGAACCTAGTGCCCATAGATAGTTTCAAACGCCAAACATTACAGTGTTGTAGAATTCAAATAAATTATAGCGAAATGAGAAAATTCTCAACAACTGGCTTGTGTGCTCAGTTTGCAAAAGGTTTTGCTTTGAAATTAATGAAATCGTCCTTGTCTGTAGAAACACTTATTGCAAATACACGTGATGAAGTGTTAAATTCTTCACTACTGCTGTGACCAGTCTCAACTGAGCAATTTTTTTAAGCTTATCATCTGTTCATCGATATTTGGAACACCAGTCAGTCAATAAACTTATATTTTTGTACACAGTAGTAAATACTTCAAGATTTTGATATATCATGTAGTGTGATTTTTTTGTTGAACAATACCCTGATGAATTGTAGCAAATTAACAGCATATCTTGTTTACTGATTATTAAACATCATTTTAAAGTTATGAGTTCCAAATAAGTAGGGTAAGTATATTATTTATAAGTAGTAACTGTCTGCGTTTCATTATGTGGACAGTGGACTTTGGACTCTTCATTGTTCTCGTAAACTTGACTAATGAATGATACAACTCTAAGTTTTCAGAGACTTCATGCTGTTAAGCGAAAGAAACGTAAAGTTTAGGTCGGTGGCACAGCGGTTAAGACTCTCGCCGACCATGCATATGGTCCGGGGTTAGATCCCTTGCCGATGCACATTTGATATCAATGGTCGACCTGCAAAATTTGTGCTGCCGATATCACATGCTGGAAATTCCACACTTTTGCCGAAAGTACTGTGTGGAATCAAGCTATAATCCAAAAAAAAGAACTAGTGTTTCCTACCAAATGGCTTCTTCTGGTGTGTCTCGTCAAAAAAAGCTAAGTTATAAGTTAATATTATTTCACAAAGTTGATTTGATATTCAAATTTGACCCTAGATTGATATCAGTTAGAGGAGCATGGAAAACCACAGGGTAATGGACAGTTGTTTCGTCCCAGTTTGGGACTC